AATTGGGTTTTCCAGTCGACCATGTCTGTTATGAGTCTCGGCGATATATCTGACCCAACTCCACAGAGTGCCTGAGAACCCAAACCCGTCGGTCTCGGAGAAATGCAGCTAGTCAGCCCGAGACATGGGTCTCGGCGCATCTGTAGCTCGCGGTTTTCGTAGTCGGGTGAGGAAAGAAGGACTTGAGAAACACTTCAGAGCGTTCCAAGATGCGCATTTCTTGTGGGAAGGACCAGAGGCCGAAGAGGCGCGGACTTCCTCAGGCGACAGGACGGAAGGCGGGGGGGGGAGGACAGCAAAGAGCTCTCCCTCTTAGCTCCCGGTACATGTAAGTGGGCCGCAGCAGCCGCAGCAGGCCGTGGCATCTGGTCCAAGCCGGACAAAGAGGTGGGCGACCTCCCATCCGCGGAGGCAATGCCCTTTCTGCCCTTCTGCCTGCATATGTGCGGGCGTTGGGAACGTTTTGGTCCCCTGAAGTTGGGAAGTCCGAGACAGGTGCCTTCCAGTTCCGTCCGGGGTGGGGGGGGAAGTCCCGGCCCCCAGTACCGTTTTCGACATACAAAAAAGCAGAAAACAAAAAAAACCGGGGACTGTCGGCGAACAGTTGCTAAGCGCAGATAGCGTCTATTAACGATTCCACATTCGAACTCCCCGCACCCCTATCGTGCCCCATCAGACCCCATGCGCCGAAGCTCGGGGGACGGACACGCACAGGCCAGCCCGTCCCTTCCCCCAAAGCCGGAAGCTTTCCCAGTGGGAGCTCCCCTCTCTCGCTGTCTCACTCGATAGCTCTACTCTCACTCCGACCTCAACCTTCCCTCTCATTCCACACCTCTCATACCCGATTCCTCACTTCCATTTCCGTCAAGCTCATGCTCCGGGCTCTCACGCACCCTCACTCGACCTCGCATCAGAACACCAAGGAAGGAGGAAAAAAGAAAAGCCCCGCCCAAAAAGGAAAGAAAACCCCAACTACGTTGAATTAAAGCAAATATAATAACCCGCCCCTCATGCCGCCAACAAGACTCACCGTCCCCCTCCCCGTCCTCGTCCCCGCCGAGCCCCTCACCCGCTTCTCCTTCGCCCCCTTCGGCGACGTGATAGAGAACCCCCACCCGGAGGTCCTCCCCGCCGCCTCCCTCCCGCCCGCCGTCTCGGCCTCCTTCTCCGCCGTCCCCGCCAACCAGGGCACCGCCATCAAGTACCAGCACGTCTCGGCCCCGCTCGACCTCTACGCCCAGGCGCCCAGCGGCGCCGCCAGGCCCATCGTCAGCCTCTTCTCCTGCGCCGCCCGCGCCCTCGAGCCCGCCCGCCCCGCCGCCGCCGCCCCGCCCATCTCCACCCTGCTGCCCTACACCACCTACGCCGGCCCCGAGCGCGGCGGCCGCTCCGCGTCACCGTCTCGAGCGCCACCCCTTCATCACCCAGACCTTCGCCCGCTCGCCGCCTCCGACGCCGTCCACGCCGCCGCCTACCTCGTCATCGTCGCCCCGACCCTCGCCGTCGCCGCCGCTGCCGGTCCCGAGACCGACGCCCTCCCGGCCCCGGCCACGGGCGGCAAGGGACCCGGCCTGCCCGACCTCAAGCGCCTCAAGGCCTTCGTCGCCTACCCGGGCCAGGCCGTGACCTACGGCGCCGGCACCTGGCACGCGCCCATGGTGGCCCTCGGCCCCCAGGGCACCGCCATCGACTTCGTCGTCACGCAGTTCGCGAGCGGCGTCGCCGTCGAGGACTGCCAGGAGGTCGAGCTCGACGCCGCCTCCGAGGGGGCCGGGGTCGTCGTCCAGGTCCCCGAGAGGATGCCTCCTGCTTCCAAGCTGTGAGGGAAGGGGGTGAGTTTTGTTTCCTGGCTCGAAAAGAAAAACGCGAGAGGCGGCGTTTGAAAGTGAAACTGTGACAAAAGACATTAGCTGTGTTTGGGTCGATGATTGAGGGCTTGTACGATGACCGGTTTGATGTGCGACTGGAGGCGTGTGGCTGGTCACGCATCAGACATGTTCGTGGGATGAGTAGACGGAGGAGTGTTGCTGGGCAAGAGGGGAGGGAGGGCCAGGGTATCTGGGTTTGTAGAAATACCTTTTCACCAGATTGCTCAACGTGTCATGGGATTTGGAGCTGCAAGGTGTAAGAAAGAAGCGTGAGCACATCACATGTGAAATCCCGCCGGCATTGGTGATCAATAGATCTTTTATTGTTTTCTGTGTTTTATAGCCATGATGATCCGTGTTGAGCCCGTTTCCTTGCACTCTGACAATCCTAAACCTCAACCCAAGGCCACTTCTCGTGTGATATACTCAAACAGGATGAAGAAATCCCTCCCCCCTTGGTGAAAGCAACTCCCTAGACTCTCCCTACACCGCCTTTGAATGACTTCTGAATCTGTCCTCTGGAACCTGTGTCGCACACCAGTCTGTTTTCTTTCATATTCGCCGCCTTTCATTCCCAATAACAATCTTCGCGGCGACGCAACCAAAGAAATCCTTCACGTGTGTGTGTCTATCTCAACACAATATCTCTTCTTAGCCCTCAAACTCTTCAAACTCGACGGATCGAAGAAGCTTATCAACTGCGGACTCCTCAAGATAAGGGCGGTATCGTAGGGGGTATGCCGGATCGACACGAGCATCGTCTGAGACCGGAAGGCGGATCCGGCCATGTGGGTGGCCCCAATCGCGGATTCGGCCGCCCTGTCTCTGATTGAAAATGTCGAACTCCAACGTTCCCGGCGATACGAGGTGGTATATGGCCACCTTGCGGGTCTGGCCTTGTCGAATCACGCGGCCCTTGGCCTGGTTCATGTACATCGTGTAGTTATCCGAGTCCGTGAAGAGAACACCGGCGAAGATCACATGATTGGCCTCGGTCAGGTTGGTTCCGGCAGACTCTGAGGACATGAGGCTCTGGATTAGAACGGCTTTTCCTTGGTGTTTCTTGAAGGAGTCGATGGTTTGAGAGTCTTGGTCTCCACCATCCGTCATGTAAACTCCGATAGAATCGTCTACACCGTCGAACAGCTGGGTATGGATTTCTGACTTGATGCCGGCATAGGCAGCAAAGATGAGAACCTTCTCGTCATCTCCGACCTCGTCAAGAATGATGTTCTCAATCTCCAGAATCTTGGAACTCGGCACTGCTTCCAAATCTGTGTCGATTTCGTTGTTGCCCTTGGCCAACAATGTATCCCAGGGCGCAAATGACCCCTGGCTAAATGCCTGGCAACCTTCAACAGGGCAGACGCGAGCACCACCATCCTGAAAATTACCGTGGCAACTGGCGCAGAGTGTGTGGCCACAGGCGATGGACAGGAGCCCACGCTGCGCTTCCTTGATGATGTCGCGGCATCCAAAGCACTTGAGAGGAAGATTGTCGTGGGCGTTGAACTGCTTTTTTTGAAGGCAGTCTTCTTTCAAAACGAAGATTTGGTGCCGCCAGGCTTCAACCGTGGTCTTGATGCCGGCTTGAATGCTTTGGATAACCAGCATGAAGCAGTTGAGTGTCTCATCGATTTCCTGTCCTCTGGGCTTGACCTTTCGGCCCTTGCGGGGTCGGTGGTGAGGCAATTTTACGCCAAACTCAAAGTCGTCCTTTGCGAGGCTGCCATCCAGATGCTTCTCAAGACGAACAAGAGCGTCGTCAACCACGTCGTTTTTCTTTAATCCAATACCGAGTGCCATCGCTTGGTGGAGTCGCTGGCTGGGGTCGAGCTGCTTCGCTCGGATGATTCGGATTGCATCGTCCTTTGTGTTGACATGGCCATCGACCGCGGAATCAACCCAGCGGTGCACGAGAGTCTTGAGCTCCTCCACGGATAGATCGTCGTCTTTTTTCAGAAGCCACCAATCGGCAGGACCGAAGACTGCAGGGCCACCGTCCTCCTCCGCCCAGGTCTTGATATCCCAAATATCGCGTCTCGCCGATGGATTGTATGGGCCTCCTGGGCGGGAGACCTTGTCAATAATGGCGTTCTTGATGTAGACGAGGCATTGCCGGTCGCCAACGGCTTCCGCCTTATCATGCCTGAATATGTCGATGATGTCTCTCATATGGCCCATGTATGCTTCTTGCTTGGCCTTCCAGGTGGCAGTGCGCTCAGTGTCGTCCTTTTCGATGAGATTTGCAAGATAGACCATCTGGTCGAACTGCGAGGCCAATATCTGGGAGCAACGGTCAACGTACATGGCAGTTGCGCGGCACGCGCGTGAACTCAGTGTACTGAGAGTAAGCTCGTCCGTTTCACCGATCCATTTCATGGCTTGAAGGCCAGAATGGCTGTACGAGACGGAAGTGGACGAAAGCAAAAGTAGGGCATCAATGGCGTCAGACCAGAGCGACTTTCCCGAGGCCTTGACCTTCAATCCAGAGCCGGCCGCCTTCTCTTTGTTCAGCAGGTCCTGTACCAACAGCGCGAAGTGGCATGACATGTCTTGGACATCGAACTTGGCGTCGTAGAGCAGCTGCTGCACCAGGTGGTAGACAAAGGCCTCCTGTGGCTGCATGGGAGTAAAGCACATGTATTCTTCGACTTGCAGATTGTCTACATCCGTCTTGTTTTTGCGGAAGAGGTGCGAAACAAAGCGATGTGCCTGCTCATGGCGCTCGATAGCAAGCTGCGCAGAAAGGGGCTCTGTGTAGCTGTAGTACTTCTCCGCGTCGGTCTGCTCTGAAATTCGGGGTCCATTCGTAACGTTCGGGAAATAAGCCGGCATAGAGGGCGTAGCGCGAGCAACGTGGACATTGATCAGCTTGCCGATCTCGCAAATCCGACCAAGGTCGGCCGTGGGGGGTGTTCCGGACAGAACCCATTTCGCTGAAGCAACGGCGTTCTGGAAGAAAGTAGTAACAGGGGTGTTTTCGTATGAGAACTCATCGAGAACGGCTCGCTGGAAGGTATACATCTCGAGAAGCTCGGCCTTTTTGAAGACATCCAGTATGTCGATGGAAACAACAGGTTTGGCCTTGGCGCTAGATCTCGGGCCCGATACTTTCTTCTTGGAAGTTGTTCGCGCAGTCTGTTGGGTCTTTCGGTCGCTAGGGCCCACGTTGTTTTCTACGGCCTGCTGGGTCCAGTCGTTTGTAGTATCACGTCGACCCTGCAGAACGGTATTGAGCTGCATCCTGCTCATGCTGTCCGGGTTGGCGAAGTCAAAACCTGAGTGTCGAATGGTCTCGACGGCCTCGTAGTACCAGTCATTGTGGTCCCGGCCCTTGAGGGAAGACTTTTTGTGGTAGATAGGCGGAAGCTTAGACACCGCTGCAAGCTTCTCCATATTCTTGTCCGAACTGATGAAGGTGCTGCTGACGATAATGATGTCCGCCGCGATCAGTTTCTCTCGCACGACATCCGTAGGTCTCATGATAACGTGAATGGTGAGAGGGCCATTTCCGTGACGTCTCGAATCAACTCCAATAAACTTCGCAGCCTCGTTGGCCCACTGGCCAACAATGTGAGGTGGGACGATAACCAATGTCGCCTTGAGGTGGATGAGACTGGTGTCGCCCAGCCACATCGTCCGATCCCGAATGGAGCTGGCTTCATTATCAGGATTGGCGGTGGAGATGTCAACAAGACCAAGCGTAACGATAGTCTTGCCGTAGCCAATGTCGTGCGCCAGAACGCCGCCACGCGCGAGCTTCTCTATGCTGGCCGTTGCATGCAGACGCACATTGACCGACGGCAGGAGACACTCTTCGAATTCCTTCTCGATGAATGTGTCGTTGGCGTGTTCCCGCTTCAGCATCCACTTTACAGCCTCCAATTGATCACGTCGTAAAGCCATGCCGTTGCGAGCAAAGCTGGGGGGTTGCCTCGCAACGTCCAAGGGGAAGTCGCCCTCTCTGACAGGGGCTAGGCTCTCCTTGAACGGGCGCAACTCCTTCAGACTCGGGTCCCAGAACTCAAATTGAACATCAAAAGTGCCAGTTCCTTGAGTTGAACGGAGAAAGGTCGACATGAGGTCCTTGTCTTTGGGAAAGTGACCGAGTGCTCGATGCGCAAGTGCAACGGGTCCGAGGAGGATTCTGAAGCTGAGGATGCTCAACCGACCGGCGCCTCCAACGTCTGGATCTAGCCAGGCCTGAATCTCGTATGGGGCCGGTCGCTGCCGCAGATCTCGTTCAGTCTGTGCGGCCATTTGCTCATCTTCGACGCGCTCGATGTTGCCGTTCTCGTCCCAGCGATGAAGAACCTTGGCTGGCTCAGGTGAGCAACTGTGACACGGGTTGTTTGCATCCAGTGGAATGTTTCGGACATTCAGACTGCGGATCTGGTCGGAGTATTCAGAAGTTCTCTTGATTTTGTTGACGGCGGAGGAGAACAAGGCCAAGGCATCCTTGACTTCATGGTTCGCAACTGGAACCCAGGGTTCATCACCGTTATTGGTGGGATGCAAAGAAGTCGTCCATTGCGCAGGGAGCGACTTGACAGGATAGTGCATGTCTGTGTTGTCAAATCTGACCAAAATGGACGGAGTCAAAAAGTTGCAGTTGCCCTGGCTGGCTGACTGCTCTGCCAGGTTACTGAACCGAACCGCAAGAGCTGAATCGCGGTCGGAGATGGTAAGCCGGTAGTCTGACTTCAGAGGCATCCACACGCCTGGTAGCGTGGCAGGAAGTTCCCGAGGCGCTTGTTGATCGGCAACTTCTACGAAGTGGACAAAGTCTTCAGGGAATATGCAAACGATGTCTCGTGACTCGTCCGGCTCGAGCTTCCTGGGGTTGCTCGTCAGAACCCATCGGTCGCTGCTGGCACTTGTCGTACTGTTGGTGTTCAGCATGTGGTAGACACGGCCGCGACCTTCATCTTTGCGTGTATAGAGAATCCCAAACGGAGTGCCGCACGTGCTGGTGAAGTGAAAATCTCCGCGAATATTCTCAGCAACCTGGTCCATCCAGTGAGGATAATCAGGCAGATCGATGAGCTGCTGGCGAAACCCCTCCAAAGGACCTGGACCAGGGCTGAATCGCATGGGCTCCTGGAGGACCTGGATGCCGATTTCTTGCTGAATGTACAACTTCTAGTTGTCCTCAGTGGGGATAATGCTGGCTTGGGGGTCGGAAATGACAGCCTTCAAAAGAGGCTTGCTGAGGTCATACTGCAGTGAGTTGAGCTGATAAGCGGCGTTCTTGGTCGCCTCATTCAGTTCCATGGAAGGATCCGTATGATCGAAGTAACTCTGTCGAACATGAAGGTTCCACGTGAGATCCTTCTCGGTGACAACAAGGGTGATGTAGGAGTCGATCGACTCGTAAGTCACAGTGATGTCTTCTCTGAACTTAAGGCTTGTCTGAAAGTAGTGCTTGGAGCCGCAGCATTTTTCGATTGCCAGTTGCAAAGCGGCGCGGTGGTGACGAAACTGCTCATCATCGAGGCCGTCGAGGACATCTGCCTGGAGTTTCGTCATGTCGACAAAAAGATGAGCTGGGAATGCGACGGTAGCAATCTGATAAGCCACATTCTTGTCAATGAAGCGGGTAGAGTCGACAGGGTGAAGCTTGTCAAAGTTGTGCTCGGGGTTTCCCGTGCAGGATTCACAGCGAATCTCATCGCAGTCATCACAGCGCCAGTATGTTCCTGTGTGTTGATGTTTGCGGAAGGCATCGCAGAGACAGTTTCGACGGCCCTTGCCGCAGAGCTCGGTGAGGAAGCCAACAGCAAGCTTGTTGTGCAAGGTGTCGAAGAGGGCGTTCTGCCACTCCATCTTGCTCGCGTCCGCCGTGGGTGAGTTATTCGCGTCGGCAGTAGGAATGATGGAGGAAGAAGCAAGTGGCTGAATGCTTGGGTTGACGGGGTTGACGGGGTAGTCGAAATCGTTGGCGTAGATCTCGAAATCGGAAGGTGAATCAGGAAGAAGGTACGCAGGGCTCGCTTGATCAGCCGGGCAAGGCAAGTAGAGGCTGGCGGAGGGGGTCTCGAAAGGGCCAATTACGTCAGCCGTGGACAACCCAGGAACCACAAGGTACTGATTGCGTGCCTTGACGACAAATCTTCTCTCGGTAATGATGGCGCACAAGATGGCCGCGCCTGCCACTGTTGTTGTCATGGCATTGCCCGCCAGGTCTTTCAGCTGAGCCTCCTTCTCCACCGAGATGGATATGCGATCGATCGGGATACCCTGTACGGCAAGGCACTCTAGACCCAAGACAGGACGGCCGTAGAACGACAGAAACGGATCACAGGACGGCAGAATACAAGGCATGACGCCCAGTCTGGCGCTTTGGCGGTCCACATTCTGCCCGAGATCGAGAACAAGGAGCTTGAAAGTGAAGTCGAACCCCTTGATGTAACCCCTCAAGCAGGTGATGTCCAGGAGGTCCTGCATCCGCGTCGTGATGGCAGATATGTAGCCGCGCCAGGATTCCTCGCGAGGCACGACATTACCACGAGCGTCCAGTCGAGTGTAAGGCTGAGTGTTGCCGAGCCCCTCGTTCCGCCGCGCAAGTCGATGGTCGTTCTGGCACACGACGGCTTCAACGTCCTTTTTGGGTTTCGACAGCAAAACCCTCTCCAGCTTGAATCTGGCTTGCAGGACGCGTGGGTCTGAGGGAGGAAGCAGGAACCTCTGCAGGTCCGGGGGGGTTTTGAACCATTGTGAAGGGGCCATGAGTTTGGTCCATTCGTTGACGATCTGCGAAGCGCCGTCACCGTATCTTCTGCCGTCGACTGCAATCAGGTACTTCCTCTGTCTTGTTTGGGGCACGAGGAAGTTCTTGGAATCCACCTGAACCACGGCGGCACTGTATCCGATGGCGGGGAGCCAGAACCCCTTGATTTGGTCCCAGGGTGCCTTGGTGACATTCTCCAGGATGACAATCTTGGGGCGGTGCGCATGGACGTAGAGGAGGACCGACAAGAACGTCTTGGTCGACTCCCCCTGTTCTTTGTCGATATTTTCGAAAAGCTCCTTGAGGCCCTCAATAACTTCCCCCGCAACGGGATCATCTTGGCCGAGGACGTCGGTGATGCCTCTTTTCTCGAATTCCTCAAAAAGCTTCTGCAAGCCGGATGCCTTCTTCTTGTTCTCTCGTTGGAAGTTGAGGGCTGAGAAGTCTACGCAGGAGCTACCGGCAACGAGAATATCGATATCCGTCGGAATGTCTGCCATCGCACCGGATGCCGTCATACTACAACACTGTCAGTGATTGTCTCGGGGAAGGAAAGAAAAAGCAGGAATTCGGCTCAGCTTACGCTTGAACTGCGCCAGGCCTCCCCACGTCGATGACGTTTCTGAAGATGGGTCCGGAAGGGGGAGAGTTTCTCTCAATGAAAGCCTGCTTGAACGGATCGATCTCAACGCTGAACACATGGTCATAACGAAGGACACCAAGGTAGCCGCGGCCAGTGGCTGCCTCGGCGAATTCGCGTAGAGCCAAGATCGGGCCGTCCGTGCCAGAGCACATAGTGGCGATCCTGAAAGCAACGCCGCCCTCCTCGGCGACCTTGTCGAAGCCGAGCTTGAGCGCTCTGTTGAATACGATGCTGAAGGAGTCCCGCGGCGTGAGAACAGCTCGCTCGTCCAAGTCTTCGAGGCACCCTACTCGATGCCCATTCTGATGCAGCAACAAGCCCGGGACAGGAAGCGGACTGTCTTCCAGCTTGCAGGCGTCCATCAAGACTTTGAGGAGTCCCTCTGGTGTTTGGAAGATTCCCAGCATGTTGATGTCCTCGCCGGATTGAGCATGAGCTCCAAGCAAAATCTGCACGTTGGTCTCGCTGTCTTGCTCACCAGTCGCTCGTTGGGGGGCGTGGAAGAGCGGGCCAGCAGACGTATGGTTCTGAGGCTGATGAGAAGCATCAACAAGAGGAATGTCGAAGCTTCCCTGACCATCGCCAAAATAGTTATCATCGAAGTATTGGCCCCAGTTCAAATCGAAGTCAGACTGATGCAACTGACCGGGGGGTTGCTCAGGCAAGCCATTGTTGATTGAACCGTTGATTGGGAAGATGTTTCCATCATCGACCCCTTCATAGTTGTGAGGCTGAAGGTTCTGGGTGTTTTCAAAGGAGCTTGTTTCTCCCGGTTGAGCATCCCAAGTCTGTTGATTGCCGTAGGAAGAGTGATGACTTTGATTTTGTTGCGGATGGACCGCGAGAAGCTCATCGCCCATGTAAGCCGCCGGAGCCACGGTGTGAGAGCCACTGGCCTGGTTGAAACTCACAGGATAGTCAGCCAAGTCCTGTGGCGGCATCTGATGCTCAGCGAGTGGCGTGTCCGTGCCAGCCCCGGGCGCCATATCTTGAGCCAACTCGGTCTGGTTGTTTATTGAAAGTTGTTCATCCGCCCAGGCGTTGTCGTAGGCCGGCTCTTCACCATGATACGGTTGATGTTCTGGTACTCCCTCTGCCAGCAAAGCCCGAGTGAGCCAAGTTATGTCGTCTTCCATGATGAATCAAGTTGATGCGAAAAACCTGGAGAGGGGTAGGTTTGTAGGTAAAATGGGACTTCCTGAGGCGAGGTGAGGGGATGAGGGAGCAAAAGAGCAGAGAAGGAGATACTGAGAAAGGAGTAGAAGCTGAAAACATCAAAGACTGATGATGGTCTTTGGTGGCTGGTGATGATCAGCAAAAGACACACACTTTCTCTCTATCCCCCTCTCAGCTGGCTCTTTCAGAGTGTGGATGAGAGCAAGAGAAGGTGAATCTGGATGAGAGAAGTGAGAAAGGTGGGAGTTTTTTTCTCTTTGGCAGGGCAGAGGGCAAAAAGGTGAAAATATTAGTGTGGAAGGGGAGTCTCATGGACTCGCCCTCGAGTGAGAAGAGGGCTAGGTCAAAGGAGGCGGGTGCTCTTGACTGGCAGGGCGAGAGCTGCCCATCACGCACTCCAAGAGGCGAGCACTGTTGTTATGAAAAGCGAGAGCTGCCCCTGAAGCGTGGAGACGTGCTCACAAATGCTGTGGTCAAACTTGGCGAGAGCTTCACTTTTGGTATATCTATGGGAATGGTGCTCTCAGCTGACATCTTGGGGACCCGCGTGAACACACCTAAGTATGTAGGTATGTGCGTTGTCATAAATGGCATACAAAGGCTCTCCTTGAGGCCGTTGAAGGGGATGCTTTTGTCATCGATTCTTCAAATATCGGGTGTCTGGATAAGAAAGGAATGGAGAGGGCTTCTTTAACTCGACTTGCTCGCATAAAGCCACAAGGACATCATGTTTTGTTGGAGTGGAAATGAATACTCAGCCACCTACAAAACCTCCACATCTTGATTTAAGACAATACTAGATGAGGTCAACAAGGACATGCAAAGGTAGCTGGCACTTTGTGCATGGGGTAACGGTCGACCAAGGGCCAGCTCTGGCTGCTGAACTGCAAGAGATGGTATGAACCAACAGAGGTGAGATGTCTCTGTGGGGGTGGTCTTCGTCTGTTCTCAGCAAGTGTGATTTCACCTTTGAACGCTGCGGTTGGCAACCGGTTCTTGACAGCAAAAGGGGCCCGCATGAAAGATGCAAACACCCAGCTGCGTCTCTGGTGTGGGTGGCACTGGGGCCTCGGCTTCCAAGTAGACTTCTGCCTGGGAAGCTCTCGGGGAAGACGCAAAGTCCCCAAGGGCAGCTATGAAGACTTGTTCCTTGTTTAGCAGCTTGCAGCGTGATGACATCAGCACAGGTTCATGCTGCCTCAGCTTCTCAATCGAACTTGTTTTGATCTTTGAAAACTCAAAAATTTTAAAGGCACTTGTCTCATCAAACCTTTTCGTACTTCTCAGAGTGTTGGGAATAGTGACCTGGGCGTCAGGACAAACGTCAAGAAATACACAAAAACATACAACACCAGGCAGGTATTCGCTGGTCGTCACTGACCCAACTACGGTACTAATCCGGTCCCCACTGGCATCATCTAGGTACCTACTTTGTAGATGGAGCGGGGGAGGCGTTTTTCTCATTGGTTGCCTGGGCGCTTAAACCTACCAAGTATAAAAACCCCGTTCTTGGCAAGAAATGATAGGTTCTTTACCCTTGCTCTGACCCTTATCCTCTTCATCCTCTTAAGCCTATTTGGGCGGGGCTTTCTCTTGTCTCCTTAGGATCCGGGACAGCTGGCCGCATACTTAAGGAAGAAACATGACCACCGCCGCTGCACCAAGTAGGGATAAAGCCGTCAATGCATCCACAATCACGAACATCAGAATTACAAATCTATTCTATTCCATCTGCAAGGGAGGTGATACGATCCATTCAATGTCTCTCTTGAATTTGCGGCTTGACTACCCGCTTCTCCTGGTCAGGCTTTTACAAGCGTACGGGCACTATCACTGCTCGTTCGGATTCTTCGATATCCTCGACGTATTTCAACTCGACTCAACCGCCGGATGGCGACACATCATATCGTCAAGCCCTATACGCGATGACGAAAGACGATGGCTAGCGACCATCTTTGTCATTCATAGTTGCCAAATACTACTTGTCGCCTGGATGTGGACAGTCTTCCAAAAGAAACAGTCAACACGGCATGTCAAGGTTACGTTTGCTATGGTCGTGGAATTCTTACCTCGCTGGGGCCTGATCCGCGGAACTCATTCGCTGTACTCTCTGATATTGCGAAGACGAAGAGCTAAATTATGCGGCCTTGCTGCCGTCTTCACAATAACGATAGGGCTGCTTCAGTGGCGGGGTGCCAGAACCATGAGATTTTTGACTCTGGTATCTTCGCTTATCTATCTTGACAGTCAGGCTCTCCTCTTCTCACTAAACTTGGGAAATACCGTTGCCGATATTTCAGGCTCCAGGGGTGCTTTAAGGGCGATTCCTACCATCATCCGCTGGCAAGTACGTGTCAGGTTTGAATTCGCACTCGCTTCACACCTCCTGTGGATGGCCACAATTTTGCCATTTGTTCGAAGAAACATGTACTACCCCTTCGTTATACTTTTACCCCCTTCAAGTGCTGCAATGTTACTGCAGTTTCTACTCACTGGCTACTACATCTCTGAGCCTGTGCTGAAGCCTCTAGAAATGCCTCTCTCTTCAACCAATCCAAGCACGGGGTTCTGCCAAATTTGTCACGATACCATCCTATCGAGACCAAGACCAACCGATAAAGACTTCGAACCTACGCACCATCAAACACTCGAATCTCTAAAAACGTCTGCTGCAGAAGGCTGCCGCATATGCACGACCGTGTGCTACAATCTGACCAGGCTGAAGCTAAAGCCGCCAAGGATATACATCCGGTCGGGGCCTGTGACCACATATGGTCATTGGACGAATGGAAAGATACATATTCAATCCCGATTGTCTTCAACTTTCCACGACTTTGATTCCATCAAACTAAGCGGTGTTTCTTGGGGCAACTTAGAAAACCACACGGGGTCCGAGAGCAGTCTCGGAGTAGCCAAACAGTGGATGTCGACATGCATGCGAGAACACCCTTCTTGCAGTGCTGCATCCGATTTCCACTTCCGGCCTTCAAGGCTATCGTACATCGGCGGCGACGTCCATCAAGTCGCCCTACACACATCAATCGACTATCCGGAGACCTTGTCTTACATGACATTGAGCCACCGTTGGGGCGAAGCGCAGTTTGTACAGCTTCGACACAACAACGAAGAGACATTTCGACAAGGCATCCCGTGGATCTCTCTGCCTCAGACATTCAAGGATGCAATTCATGTTGCTAGACGGCTCGGCTCCGACTATCTTTGGATCGACAGTCTTTGCATTATGCAAGACTCCAGCAATGACTGGGAAGCTGAAGCGGCTTCAATGGGCAACGTCTACAAAAACGCTCTGTGTAATATTGCTGCCTCGGATGCTTCAAACAGCCTCGAGGGTTGTTTATATCCACGAAACCACCGAATTCTTGCGCCAGAACGCCTGCCCTGGGGTTCTGATGATTTGTCAAATCATTTTTATCTCATTGATGCTCCCTCTGATAAGCCTTACGAACACTCTCAACTATATTCCCGCGCCTGGGTTTTTCAAGAGTTCCTGCTGGCACGGAGAACTGTGGATTGTGGCAGGGAACAACTTTTCTGGAGATGCGATGAATTGATGGCGTCAGAAGAAAATCCTGTCGGGCTCGCGGGGGACTTTAGCCCTTATCCTTATCACTATGAGTTCTCCCATCCGGCGCGAGAAGTCTTAAAGAAACAAGCCCACAATGCAAGCCTCAAATTGATGGTAGGTAAAATGAAGCTATGGGAAGCTGAGTATCAACACTGGACCCGTGGGTTTGGTGAGGACAGCAAATACCAAATCTATATGTACAGCCGGGAAGGATCACCATCAGTCTTCTGGGCTAGACTTGTGGATCAATACTCAAGCATGTCTATCACCAAGGAAGAGGACAGACTTACTGCCATAGCAGGAGTTGCTGACGCCTTTCGTCCATTCCTCGGTGAATACTATGCTGGTATGTGGAAAAACCTGCTGCCGCTATATCTTGTCTGGAAGATCAAGTCAGAATCGGGTTCGTGTTGGGAACCAAGCCCCTGCAAAAGGCCGTCTTCCAAACGAGGCCCTACCTGGTCCTGGATATCGCTAGAAGGCCCCGTATGTCATAAACCCTGCTATATTACGTACAGAGCTGTAATGCTCGCTCAGCTCCTCGATGCCAAGGTTCTTTCCGCTCAAGATATACATCTCCAGATCCAGGCGCCTCTGATACGTCTTGAATGGATCGACGACGTTACATGGGGAATGAGAGCATGGAGTTCTAGGTCTGTCAACTCAGGCCCAAGCATCATGGGTTCCGACAGAGTTTCTAAATGGAGGTCTCCTTGGTCCGAGTCCTGTGTCCAGAATAACAAGGACGGAGATGCATCATTACAACTCATCTTTGACGTCGCGGAAGAAGAAGCAGCGGCTCGGGATATTACTCTAGTCGCAATTTACTATTGCAAAGCAGAAGAAAAAACAACGGCTCCAGACAGTAGTCGATTCCGGAGTTGCCACAAGTTCAACAATGTGGAAGGTTTAATCCTTCAGGATAAGGGCGGTGGCTTTTTCACCCGGGTTGGGTACTTCTATACGCTTGAGTGTTCCGATCTACCTTTCTTGAAAGGTGAGCAGACGGAGGTGGTTTTGATATGATTGTCATCTTTAAAGATAAGAGAGCGTCTCAACGTCGAAAGACTACAGTTCAAATAGATAAGATTCTATATTTGCTATGTATTTGACTGTGAAATGAAACAAGTCAGAAAGAAAGAAATTTCCAAGTACAGGTATACCGTATTGTTATCAATACTTGCTTGATGCAAGAATACTACTACTTTTGAGCTTCTATAGACATAAACTACAGCATGTCTGAGACCGGGGAAATGAACAACGCTCACTACCACCTAGCCTTTCTCACCGTCACAAAACCGGCCTAGTTGGGGTCCAACGGAGATGGATCATATTATGCGAAGAGCTCGGCCAGGCTAATGACTGGAAGATACTACTCAAGTCACTTAACTACGAGAACAAGGGATCGGACGGAGCCTTCTTGCAGTTTCTCATGCAAGATTCGAGGGTACAGAGAAGAGGCTCAACCATCAAGGTTCATCCATTTACATCAGGAACCTCAGCAACCTTTACAGGAAGTACAAGTCCCAGCACCCAGATGAGCCTCTCAATGGCCACTTGCTTCAAGTTGCCCAAAACAGCTCATCAAGCCGAATTGGATATTTGTTTTTCTTTTTTTTTTTTTTGGGAGGGGGGCAAAGCCCTCCATGGACCGCAATCTTTCCATCTACCAGATGCATTTTGTCTCTATCTGGGCGCGAGATACTTTTCAATTTCACATCTGCCTAGATCGCCTCGATGACGCTCTGCATTCCGTGTTATAGCAATTCTCACAGGCTGTCGCAAGCATGGAGCTGGTATACAACAAGCCGGGCAATGTTGAGAAGATGACGACGCAACGCGATAAAGAGTCTCATGCTTTCACGAGGTCGAGGGCGATAATGAAACTGCCCTCCGCAAGGGCAACTGTTGGATCTGCGAGAAGGCCGACGATAGGACCCGTGCCCCCAAAACTGAAGGTTCTTTGTTTTTCTCTTCCGACACTTGCATTAAAAGTAGTTCAGGGGAATCTATGAGCTAAGCAAGCTAGTCTATGTAGCCTCCTGGAAATGATAGGGAAATAATAAGAGGGGGCAAGCGCTATCGGGTTTTCCCTCGGACAGACGCCAGGAGGAAAGCCATACACACACACCTACCGTCCGGCCATCACGAAAATCAAGCCATCGAATATCCGGTTGGTATTTGGTATACTTGTATTTTGGCATATGGGACTTCGGCGTCATGCTAGCCACCCCTTCTATCCATAAACGCTTCTATAGAGCTCTCAAGCTGGGAGGATTGATGTCAAAACAAGAATAGCCCCCCCTCGCCCTGCGTGGGTCTGATTGGCCCAGGCCCCGCCGCCCTGAGTCCTGAGATCATGTGACTCCCGTAGCAAACAGCCGATGCCAACCGGATTAATCGCCAGGTTTTGTCCCGTCTCACTCTCGACCTCCCCCAACGATGCCACTCTCACCTTGTGATTGGCCCGCAAAGTTTGTTGTGATGCGGGAAGAGCGTATTGATTGGATGTTGGCCGTAGCCCTTGAATTTCAGCTTTCCAGACCTGCTCACGCCTAATCCGAGTTGTCCTAGGTCCGACTTCGGCCTTAGCAGTGGGTGTTGATTGTAGCGTTTGCCGGGCACCCAAAAAACAACTTCTCACCTCAAATCCACAAGCAACTGCTCTCGGGTGACGACACCTTCGACCCAATCCAGCAAACCCCGCAAAGATCGCCAACATGGGCACCCAATTGGTCTCGGCGGACGCCATGAACAAGCTGGAAGACTTGTCGGGCATCACCGTCCTGCCCGGGCAGAACCCGTACAATGCCTTGATCAAGGCCTGCAATGACAGCTCTGTAATGTTGCATTTTTTTCGCCAACTACATCGAAGCTGTATCTGATTAGTGTGAACAAAAACCGTAGGCAGAGATACAGGCTCTATACCATACCCACAGGGTAAAGAGGAACGAGCAGCAGAAGCAAAAGTTCATGGCCCCCAGCTACGAGGGGCTCATCATAGATCGTATCCTCCTGCGGCTGGAGAACCCTGAGATAGAGCCGGGCTTCAAGGACCCCCGCAACTGCTTCGTCTTCTGGGCCCGTCCGCCCGAACACATCTTGAGGCTCGCGGCCCACGTACAGGCCCTCCTCAAGAAGGCTGCCCCGAGTGAGACACGCCAGTCAAACCCCCGACAATGATGAGGCTGACACGAAGCTTCCCCCGCCCCTCGCAAGGCGTCTGGCTCATGCCCCAGCACCGTATGCACCTCACTACCCTCGAGGTGACACACTCCAAGACGCCAGAGGAGATCATCGCCTTGACCGACACGATGCGCTCTGTGATCCCCTACATCACCGACTACACCTACTCCCACCGCGCGCGCCTTGTGAAGCCCATGGTCTCGTACGACCTCTCCGCCTTCGCCCTCTCCTTCCTCACGGCCGCGGGCGAGCCGCCCCTAGGACCCCCTCCCGCGACCACCGCGGCGCAGAAGGCCGTCGTCGAGGGCGACGGCTACACGTACCACCACCTCCGTCGGGACGTCTTCGACCTGGCGCGGTCGACGGGCGTGTCGATCGAGTCCCGGTACCAGGTGCCGAGCGCGCACATCACGCTGGGACGGTACCTCACCGAGGAGGACCACGCAACGCCCGAGGCGCGGGCACGGTGGGTCGAGGCCATCGACACGGTAAACGCGTGGCTCGAGGGCGAAGTTTGGGACCTCAAGGACGGGGAATGGGTCGGCGAGTGGGTTGTCGGCCAAGAGAGGGGGCTGGAAGCGCGGAACGGACGGCTGTGGTACGGAGGGGGACGGACAATCAGGCTCGGGGAGGGTTTCTGAGACGAAGACCTCGGGGCCGGGAGACTGGACTGGGCGCGTTGCGGCCAGCGCGCCATCCCGAACCATGATTTCGAAAACGGACGGCATGGCACCCGGCGAGCGGGATTGACTGGCGATCTTGACGCACACCAAACAGGCATATATAGACTACGGGTAGGTTGAACCAATGATAAAACGTTTCTTCGTGACTCAGGTATTGTTTTTGACCGGCTGAGCCGCATGGGGGACAAGGCATCTATCTTCCAGAGACCACAGCTTTAGGAGCATGGGACAGAGCAGCTCGGCAGGGACAAGGTCATCCCACCTCGAGTGTGTAAGTTAGCACACCCTCAGGACAACCCGTTTGTCGAGTTCCCAACGCATCCCGCATCTTCTCTTTTCACTTTTCTTCTTCGGTCTCTCTTCCAGGCGCGCTTGCGAGCGCCAAGCAGATGGCAGGTTTGAGGTTGGGAGGGATGGAAAGGCTTGTGGGATGTATGCTTTTTGTTTTGTTTTTGGTATCCGTTCGCAAGTCAGGGCTTTTATTTGTTCCCTATGTAGTGTTCTGCCAATGAGAACTGGTAACCCTCTTCGCCGCCATTGTTCCAGCCTGATGATGATCCGTAGTATGCCGTGAAAGGAGCCATAAAAGTCGGTCGACCGAAAACATAACGCGTTTAGAAAACGAGGGCGGCACCCTTGGTCTTCTTGTCACCACTGCAGAGGTTGTCAGTAATCTCGCTTCCGGGAGTTCAGGGATGGGGCCGGCGTACCCCAACTCGAAGTGCTTGCAGCGCTTCAGAGCGAGCTGAAGCTTGGTCTTGCACTTAACGCACTCCAACCGCAGGACAACCTTCTTGGTGGTCTTAGCCTTCTTGTGGAAGACAGGCTTGCTGTGATATTGTCAGTCTTGCCCTGAACAGGTGAGGAGACCTGGTGTGAAGGGGGGAATGAATGCGCGGCGCAATCAAGGGCGTGTCCCCTTCTCAACCAGGGGCCCGTCTTGTGACAGGTGGCGGGTGGGTGTACGTACGTCTGACCACCGTAACCGGACTGCTTTCGGTCGTAACGTCTCTTTCCCTGCGCGAACAGCGAGGCCTAATTTAAACAACTGTTTAGTAAACCCGTTCGTGATGGCATCGGAAGGGGATGCTGCGTCGCTCGGTTCGTCGCCGCGCATGGTGTTGAGCATACCTTGCCGGCCTTGTACTGGGTGACCTTGTGCTGGGTGTGCTTGCGGCACTCCTTGCCCTTGCAGTAGGTCATACGCGTCTTGGGAATGTTCACTGGAAATCCCGAGTCAGCGTTTGGTGTATCCCATCATCAAGACTAAGCCATCTCGCAAAACAGTCTCTCGTGGTCGCAGCCGGATCGATTTCCCTCGAGCCTTGGCCGTCGTGGTATGCGTGCTGCGCTGCCCGTGATGTTGTGTGTGTCGTCTTGTGTCGACTCGTGATCCGGTGATTGACCTCCCTCGGGCCCAAAAATTTGTCGGTAGCGCATCGTAGGCAGCGCACAGCCGACTAGAATAGCAATTCCTTCTCTATTTCCCGTGTTGAATCCGACTGCGTGACACGCTGAGACTGCAAATGCAAAGATTCATTGCAAAAAAGGACCTACCCATCTTGGCGGCTGTTTGTCGATGTCGCTTGCCGGAGTGTCGTGACGATGAATTGCTGGCGGGGAAAGAGTAAAATTCGAGGTTTTGCTAATCGCTTGTTTGTGCGGGTAGGGCAGGTGTGCAGCTCCGGTTTGGGAGGATACGTGTGGCTGAGGCGAGGTTCAGCCACGCCTTCAGCCATTCGGGCTACGACACGTGACTTAGGTCGGCTCTAGCCTTCGACACCCCCACAAGCCTGCTATCAGCTGGACAGCAGTGGCTATCGTCGGCCGACAAACTTGCCTTCATCGGATGCTTTCAGCCAGCCCCGTTACTGGTGACTAAGACTTCCTCACCAGACCGGCCACCCTCAACTCTCTCTTCTCACGGGGACTGAACTGTCGGCCAATCCATGACTACCGCTTTTTGTGGCCGCCTCAACTTTCTGTCCAAGAGTCAATCGCACAGCCAAGCACCGAAACACCCTTCGTTCAGATTGTGGGCGGGCTTGGTGATCGCGGGGAAACAGTCGCGCGTCAGAATAGTGTTTCCCATGACAGAACACGCAATCCTCTGTTTCGTTGTCGCCCTATCCGGAAAGCCCCAACTCACACTTTTTTGCGACTCGGATGAGTCATGGCCGAATAGAAACGACAAAGACGGTTGGCAGACTCGTGCCCGTCAGTGCAAGGGCATGGCTCATGACTTACTTTCCTCTCTTCCCTACCCGCCCGCCTCGACACCATCTCCTCGTCAACCCTCGACTTGAACTCTTTTACAGCTTGTCACCCACTCCCGCGGTTTTGTGACAATTTTTAGCTGAAAAGCAATGTCATTTCACGAGCAACCCCCCGGTCAACGGTGTCTGCTAATGGAACTGACGTCAGCGATAGCCTTACCTCTGCCGCACCACTGATCCCAGCTTTGACCTTGTAAGGCATTCTATTCGAAGCCCAAGGAACTCAGTTTCGGAAAAACTCTGTAACCAAACGGTGACGTGACGTCTCTGCCTCTGCCGTGGCCTGTGGCAGCCGCCTTCGGCGTCAGAAGCCTGGACGGCGGACGGCATGACGCATGTCGAATGTGCACTATTAGACTCTAATGGCTATCATGGGCTTCAATCATACCCAAGGAAGGCCGCGGCATGCTACGTTGGGTTCCCTTGTTCGCGGGGCAAGGTTAGTTTTAATTGCTCATCTAACGATGAACCCCTCGCCCGGGAGGAGCTCGGTCGAAGACCACGATGGTCTCCGGAGAGAATGCCGTGCACCTACTCGAGTCAACGACTAGCCCAGGGGAGGCGCCACTTAGTATTGCGATGGTCATCGGACCACGGCCTTGGAGCCAAATTAACCCATCAATCAATTTGATGGACGGCAGATTGGTGGCCACCACGCACGCGGCCAATCAGACCAAGGATCTGTCGATCTCGCGTCGACTTGTCGAGCAATGGCCCTTATGCCATTGCCTGGGGCAAACATGTTGGCTCAGATCGTTCTATATGACCAGGGCCTGCCTCGGGAGCATTCCTCTGTCGATGCTTGCCCGTTCATTCTTAGAGAGCGCATAGGCCTCGAAATGGCGATGCTGTGCCTCCAAATAGAAACACAGGGTCTAGCGGTAGGTGATCTGGACAATAGAAGAGCGGGAGTGCATACGGATGAAACCACGGTTATAAGGAACGAGTAAGTGCCTTTTGGGGTGCAGACGACCGGATCGGATTGCAGGACACAAGGTCACGCATTCCGGCCAAAAGCGACGAACCGACCGGACGACTGGGGAAACGAGCTGGAGCAAGTCCCGACTGGAAGGACGTCCGCCCTGCTTGAGCCCGAGACTAATTGTGCTGGAGCAAAGACGCTGAGTGGGCGAAACTCGTTCGGCTCACCGTCAGATGGCTTTCCGGGTGGCGCCCATTACGACGACGACGCACCAGAGATGGAAGTTGAGATTCAGAGGGAGTTTATGGCCAACGGAAGAAACAACACACGAGACGCGGCGGCACAGTTAGAGCGAGCCATGGCCCTCTTGATACGGTCTTTTAGAACATCTACAACACCAACAAAACCCGAGCCGCAACAGGGACGATATGAATGGTGGGGTCGACGACGGCAATCGACTCGCGATAATCTGTGGCGTATTACCGGTAGAGTCAAACAGGATGGCAGATGGCTGGCGGAGCCTGACATGCCCACCAAGAAGAAGCCATGGAGTGAACCGCGCCGCAGCGACGAACGGCGCCGTCCCAGCACCGGTTGCCCCCCCCTCCCCTAGACAAAGAGCCCCAAGACTACTACTCATTTCCGGTGTGCCCTAGTCTTGACAAGTTGACAAATTGCACTGCGAGACTCGCAACGTGGGTTAAGCCCGGTTTGAAACGTCGCCCAACGCCGCAACGTCGACGGTTTCAGATTCAACACGTCCCGTGCGCTTAAGCCGCGTTCCTTGCATGCTCACACCTTAATCAATGCCCCCGACTCACGTCCCTATTGCTTTGTTTAGCAGCATTCTACAGCCACCTTCCCTGTTCCCATCCACTCTCCCCGACGACTATTCGTAGGAAAATCGGAAGAATTGTACTCGCACCAGCTTAACTACTCAAGTCCTTGATCCTATCGGACGGAACATGCGGCATAAGCCAGCGCCCCGCAGGGGACGCGCAACCCCCCTCATAGCTTGTCGAGCCTCTCTCCGTTTCCCTTACCACCCAGATTTCGATCCCATACGCTCTGATACAGCTTCACGAAGCCAGTCTTGCGTGTGCAGCGCCTTTCTTTACCTAGTTAGCATTCACCCTCCGGCTGTGGCGGGAATCCGAAGATATTCACCATCTTACTTCGGATTCCGGCATGGTGTGGGCGGCCTGGTGTTCCAGCATGTTGTCTCTCTCCTCTTTCCCCCTTCAGCCACTCCGTCTCCCTCCCTCTCTCTCGCGCGCGTATCGTTCCACTAAGACTATAGGTATTGCCGGTAAGGCGATGCTGGAATACGGGGAGACGCTCTGGTCTGGCTGTTGAATACGGAACGTGCTAGGCTCCGTTCAACCCAAACCAAACGCTGACGGGCAGAGAATCGGGGTAGGGATGGAACAACCACAGAGTCCGCGACGCCCACTACTAAGGCTCTGCAACCCCTGTTCCTGGCTTCCGGCCTCCCGGCTCACCCTTGCTCGCTCCCCGCGACGTTGGGAACTGAGACAGGTTGGTGGGAGAGTGGTCACCAGTCAAGTCAGAGCCAAGAAGCAGGGAGAGAACTCGGCAGCCCCCGAACCCTGGATATCGTAACTAATACCAACTCTTGAGCTCTCTCCGCAGATCAGCCCAGCCAGACACCACCACCACACCACCCCCCTCCCCTTTCTCTCTTCCCACCCCCCTACCCCCCCCCCCCCCCTGGACGGCCGACTGGTCGGTCCCAATTGCTGGCTCTAGTATGATGTGTAAATGGCTTGTGTCTTCTTTACCTTCAACAGTGTGTGCATGGAGGTCGCCTGTTTGAGGACTAAGGTCTGAGCCGGCGTAAGGCCGCGGAAGCAAAAAACGTCACCTACATATAATCGTCTCCTTTTTCATATAGTATTAACCTTCGCCCATTCCCCCCCCCTCCCGCAGTCCTCTCACATTCGATCTTTTCCCTTCTTAGGCCAAGTTCCATCACCAAATGCTTTTGTTGTGATACCCAGATACCCAACCCTCTCACTCCGGCAATCATGGAGCGAGCACAGTCCCTTCTCAGCAGCACCACTCTATCCATCAGCAGCTCCCGATCCAGTACCCGCTCGTCCCGCTCGAACTCATTACTGAACACGACACCCGGTCAGGAGAAGGGGGAGTTCTTCCTCCCCGCGCCAGCCACTACGATCTCACAACCGAAACTCCGGGTGCGCGCGATACTGGGCCACTGCCTGTATCGCAGGGTTGTGATATGGACGGTAACAATATCTATGCTGATCTGCCTCGCGTACCTCAACACGCCGCTATACACACGAGATGGCAAGGCCCTGGCAGATGACTACAGGATAGGCGGGGTTGGGGACCCGAAGAAGCATGGCAAGCCGGCGCCGCTTGAGGAAGACCTCATCGTCGAAGGTGACATGCCGCCATGGCTCAAGTTCAAGCAGTAAGTATTTCGCGGTGCGAATCGCCGCTTGAAGTGTTACTGACATCTCAAAAACCAAAAGTCTCAACGGTTACTTCAATGGTGTTAAGTCGATCGTCTCCATCGCCAATCACACGCCTGAGTATCCCAACATCTCTCATCCGGCACCGGTGACAAACGTACCGATTTACCATGATGCCCCTCCTATCCCTACTGTCTACGAGGCTCACCCGAATTACGCATCCGCCGAGTACCAGAGAGAGCATTACCCCGTTCGCGAATGCTTCATCGACCAGGACGACAAAGTTGCCGTCCCGGATATCTACGCCTTTGACGGTGTCCCCCAGAACCAGCCCGATCCGGCCATGGGCTCCTACACCGTGCTCGGTCTTCGCAATGACGTTTGCTTCGATCGTTTCGGACGCTATGGCCCCTATGGCCTCGGTTACAGCATCAGCGAGGGCGGTACGTCTCAGGGCCAGGATACCGAACATGAGGGCGCCGAGGTTGTCTGGGCCAAGACCGGCAAGATTGACTACAGCCGGGTCGACTGGGGCGCCGCCCAGGAGCGATGCGTGGAACGCAACAGCGCCCGCTTCAGCAATGGCTCGTCCGAGGACAACACCAATGATTCGGTCTTGAGGGAGCCCGAGGAAAGCGCCGGCAAGGTCATCAAGAAGACGGACCGCATCGCCGTCGTCGTCCGCACCTATGTCGGCTTCCAATGGACCCAGCTCGCCATCGTCAACTTCCGTGCCATGATTTCCGAGCTCTCGCTCAAGTCCGGCGGCGAATATTCTGTGCACTTCCTCCTCCACGTGAAGGACAACGAAGCCCCCATCTGGTCGGACCCCTCTGTCGTGCAGAGCATCCTTGATGCCAACGTGCCGACCGAGTTCCACTCCATATGCACTCTCTGGTCCGAGGCGGAAATGAGGCTCTACTACCCCGGCCACTTCGCTGACGCGATCGAGAACCCATCCAACGGTGATATCCACGGTGTTTATCGAAGCGCGCAGATGCCACTTCAGGTCTTTGCCCTCCAGCATCCCGAGTATACCCATTTCTGGAACTGGGAGATGGATATGCGCTACATCGGCTCTTATTATGAACTTCTGGACCGCCTGGGATCGTGGGCCAAGGCTCAGAGTCGCACCCTTCTCTGGGAGCGGTCCGCCAAGTACTACATCCCCGCCGAGCACGGCTCTTACGAGGAGTTTGCCGCAATCGTTGAGAAAGAGCTCGATGCGTCCGGCCGCCGTGCCATCCTTGGCCCTCAGATCTTCCCCGGCCGCCAATCGCTCAAGAGCGAAGAAGCCGGCATCTCGATCATGCCCCCTTCGTGTGACCAGGGCGGCAAACCCGAGGCGTGCGGCGTTGGCGAGGACGCCGACCTCATCACCCTCAACCCTCTCTTCGACGCGGACGAATCCGGCTGGGTCTTCGCCAAGGACGTCACCGGCTACGAGATGGTCTTCGCCCCGCCCCCGCGCCGCTGCGCCATCGTCACCGCCTCGCGACTCTCTCGCCGCCTCCTCGCCGCCATGCACGAAGAGATGTGGCGGATGCACCACAGCATGTTCTCCGAGATGTTCCCCGCCAGCATGGCCCTGCACCACGGCTTCAAGGCGGCCTACGCCCCGCACCCCGTCTACCTCGACCGGGCGTGGTACCCTTTCAACACCATCGAGAAGGCCTTCAACGGCGGCCGCGACGGTACCTCGGGGGGCCACGGAAGCCCCTTTGATCTCAAGAACGAGCACAACCACAAGGGCACGAGCTGGTACTACAACTCCGAGTTCGCCGGCCTCCTGTGGCGCCGGTGGCTCGGGTACGCCCAGATGGACGGCCGCGGCAACAACGGCGGCCGCGCCGGCGAGGGCACCCTCCGCGGAGGCATGGAAGAAGAGTCCAACAAGGACAGCTCGGGCCGTCTGTGCCTGCGCAGCATGCTTTTGCACCCGATCAAGTGGGATAACCCGATTGAGAGGACATAAGCGCGTGCCGCGCGTGTTTCATTACTGTTACTACTATTACTATTACTACTACCACTTACGACTACCGCTGCTGCTGCTGCTACTACTACTACTTAGCATCGACAGCCAGACCCAGAGTCCCTCTTTTTCATTGCGGGGGGAGAGCTTGTGCCGTCAAGTCGACGAAGAGCGAGGGCAAAACTTGTCAAGGTTTCTCTAGCTGCAAAGTTTCATTTCCTATCTTGTGGTTGGTTTACCCCAATTTTTTCTTTTGCATTTACAAAACCTACATACATAGTAGACTGTACATATCGAAGGGGCCACAAACGTTATAGCACGGATTGGGGGACGTTATACCAGCCGGTGGATGTGTGTGGGAGGGATTTCATGACTCAAACAAAGCATTTTCTTTTTTATTATCTTCATTTCCTCTTAAGATGCGCACCCGGAGCCGTTGATCTTGTCTCGTGTTTCTCTTCATTTTTCACTTTCCCAAAAAAACAAACCTCTATTTATACACGAGCCGGGCAGTTATGAACGGGCCGGATTTGCTCTTTTTTTTTTCTTTTTTTTTTTACTGTACATAGACCGCAAAAACCCACCGCTCCTTTCCTCGCTTTTTTTGCTACGAGCGGGTGTCTCTTTGCTCACTGACGCACAACACACGCGACATTGAAACGAAAAAACAAAAAAGACGGAGGATTATGTTGCGGTGGCGGCGTACGGGGTTAAATTGAATGGGATTGGGTCGAGGATGTTTTAGGTTTTGGTGTTCGAAGGGGGGGTTCTAGGTAGCAAGGAGCCAGTCAAGAGACACTACATGCGGCGAAGACACTCAATCTCTTGCAAGAAAATGACCATTGCTTGACAGGACGCTGAATAGCGAGAATACCTAGCAAAACGGGCGGCTTGGAGGACTCTGGTCCGACTCTGGCCCGTCGCCTCCAGCTGACAGGGCGTTCGTCGCAAGACTGATGAAAAGGAGATCGACGGCAAAACAGCTTGAGAGCCCAATAAAACTTCGCCATCAAATGTGAACCGTCATTCCGGCTCTAGAACTTTCTGCTCGTCTGGCATGACTCTTTCCCTCTCTCACCACTCTCCCCTCTTTCTATACGAGTACGTCTTCCAACCCCGGCATCCCCGACCATTCCCCTCTGCGAGCTCCACCTCCATCCTGGGGAGACGCTTCCATCTTCCTACATGGTTGGCAGGGGTTCGGCGGACCACCACGGTCCCATCAGAAGGCGGCACCTGGGTGGAGGGGAAACCCATTACTCCGGTTCCCCTACTGGAGCTTCTCATCCGCAAATGAACACTTAGAGAGGCGTGTCTGTACAGTGGCGGTGCCAGGAGCAGCCCGGTGAGTACTATGTAGAAGCGAGGGAAATCGGCGGACTGACTCTGGGTAACTCTACACTAAGAGAGGAGTTGACGACAGGAGCGGCAGGGATGCCCCGGGGCGCCGTCCTGCCGGTAGTTCCTTGCGTTTTCTTTTTGTGTTCGGGGGAGGGGAGCGTTCTAGAATCCGAACCGCCACTGTGAGCGCGGGGGGTTTATTGCCTTCGCGATGCCAACGGTATACTCAAACGCTCGTATAGTATTTATTTTTGCATTTCTTTTTCTTTTCAACACGAGGAAGGCAGATGTCCATGTGGTGTCAAAATGCTTTAGAGTTCTTCTTCCGTCCCAACACCCGCCGAGCCTGCCGCGAGGATTTCGCCGTCTGCGCGCCACCGGGACAGCTACCCCAGGCACTGTCCGTTCCCTCTCTCGCCCCGGTGGCGGTCGTCACGTTGTTTGGTAGACAAGCCAGGGGATCTCACTAATTGCGACTATCAGAAAAGAACCCCAGGGGTGGGAGGGGCGAAGTCCGCGGGAGCCGGGTGGGTTCCGGGACGAGGATGCCTTGGCAGCACGGTAAAGCCTGGAAAGCGCGGTCGTGATCTGGAAAAAAACATGGGGATTCATGTTTTCGGCTTCTTCAAGAAACGCCGCTGCGAGGATCAGGCGACGATCTGCTTTTGTGGGAGGCGGCGGCTGGTGAGTGAGGGTTTCTCTAGACGGCGAGTCCGAATGGCCTGGGGGCATCGTTTTGTGGTCCGGGTAGGCTACACGACAGATAATTCGGGCGTGAAAGAAAACCGAAGTTAGAAGTACAGGCATATATATGCACTTGTGAATAATAGTAGATGAGAGACTGGCCACTACCATGTTGAAGTTACTAACCGTCTCGACAGCGAGGCTTGTCCTCGGTCCAGCCGCAAGGCTATCTCCCACTCCAGTATAGTCTTCTAGAATGATGCCCTTGTCATATAGTGAAGGAGGATTACTTCGCGAGTAGACGGATGACGAAGAATACTCTGCTGGTTTATCCGGAGGTCAGTCTTTCAGCGATATGAACGAGAATCCGTTAGGATACACCGGCTGAAAGCAGAACACATTGGAAATCACCCTAGTCCCGTCTTCGAGGCCGTTTGGGCCCAGAAGCTTGCCACTGCTCTCTTGCCGTCTCATGCCCTTTTGCCCAACCGAGCTGGGCAAGTCTTGGGTAAGCTTGAAACGGCCCAAGACTGTCCATCGGACCGGAGCTCAACAACCTCGGCCCGGCAATCATTATGTTGCTATCGTACAAGCAGCAGCTGTGGCCGGCATCCCGGCACGTGCTCCACACGACGCACGTGTCATTGTCGACTGAGTTGAGTGTTGATGCCGCACAGCACGCCGGTGCCGCGTGCGGCAACAACGTCCTGGGCCACGACGAGGCGGGGCCCGCCGTTATTTTCCGCGGCTACGAGAGAGCTTGCCGTATTTCTCCGCCCAGAAGCCGCGGGGATAGGACGGTGCCGCGGTCGTCTGAATGGACGATTGTGTTCCAGGCTCGGGGGGGGGCGCCGCCGCGGGAAGTTTCAGCTCCGCCTAAGCGTACAGACGTTCTATCAGTTACGCGGTACTGGTCAAGACAGGCAGTCCAAATTTCGGCAGCCTTATGTAGTAGTAGTAACACCAACCGAGTGAGGTAAAAATAATAATAAAAAGCACCAGTGGCAGAGCCTCGCGTGGAAGACGGCGGCGGCGGCGCTCGGCGACAAGAGAGGGAGAAACGCGGATGTCCTCACAGTGTTACAGGTCAAACTGAACGACTGGAATGGTTATTTTTCCGAGAGTGTGCTGAAGGTGAATCGCAATCTGGAGAGAATCCGGTTGTCGCCCAGTACTACAAGGCGCCAGAGGGACTAAGTTGATTGGCGGTTGAACTGAAGATCAGACTTACAAAATCAAGGTATCCTCGGTGGTATATGCTGTGTGATCAAGACTAGCGCTAACATCGACACCTAATCAAAAGGGAGTTAAAGGTAAAACAGGAGGTATACAATTGGATTTGAAAGAAGAGGATATGTCGTGGATATCAACAAACGACCAATCAAGTAAGGCTCTGTTAAGCTATTTTCCTGGACCTTCTTACATGAGAAGTAGCTTGATGTTTGTAGCTCAAGGCAAATGTTGTCAGACGAACGCGGCGTTACATTCACGGGGCCAGACTAATTAAATACTGTAACTGGACAAGCAAAACCGACGGTCACTCAAATTCTTTGTTTTATCTTCCTCGGCGACGCCTATGAGTCCTCGCCCCCGGCCGTCACCAAGCTATCAAACCGGTTCCCTCTCCCCGTGACGAACTTCATCTCCTCATCCATGCGATGATCTCCAAACGAGTCGCCGGTCCTGTCCGGCAGCAGATCCTCGATGGCCCACGCGATCCTCTCGGCACCCGCCCTCGCCCCCGCCAGGTTGGGCGCCCCGGGACCCAGCCTGAGAGCCGCCATGCGCCCCGTGACGAAGAGCGGCACGTCCTGCGACCACATCAGGTCGTCGTTGATGCACGGCATCCCGCCGTGCCCGTGGAGGGGGTAGTCCCTCAGGATCGTCTGCAGGTACGGCAGCTTCGCGTAGTCGGTCTGCACGCCCGTCGCGAAGTAGATGTAGTCCATCCCCGGCATCGGCTCCCCGGCCGGCTCCGTCTTGACGTCCCAGACCCTCCTCTCCCCGTCGTAGCGCGCCTCGGCGAGCCTCGTGTTCGTCCGCAGCTCCAGCGCGCCGCGCGCGACGTGCTGCTTCAGCCGCTTCTGGTACGGCGGTGTGATGCTGCCGCCGCCGCGGGCGCTCTGGATCTGCCGGAGGCGCTCCTCGTCCGAGTCGGCCGACCAGAAGTAGGCCTGCTCGACGTTGCGGAACTTGCCCATCCACGCGAGGTCGATGTCGAATGGCTTCACCCGGCAAGGGCCGCGCATGAGGTGCCACACCTTGGTCACGCCGCGGCGGAGGGCGAGGTCCGAGAGCTGCGCCGAGGTGAGGCCGCCGCCGACGACAAGCACGTTGGTCGTCTTGCGCGCGGCGATCTTGGCCTGGACGACCGGGTCCGGGAACTTCTGGATCTGCATGCTGTGGCAGACCTGTGGGGGGGGCGTGCCGCCGGGCTCGCTGGCGAGGCCCAGGACGGGAGGGATCGTGGGCGCGTTGGCCGGGCCCACGGCGAGCACGACGGCCCGCGCGTAGTGGGTGGTTTTGTTCGAGTGGACCGCAAATAGCTTTGAGTCGGGCAATACATCTTTGATGACGCGGTACTCGATGTCCTCGACCTTCTCGTTCTGGATGAGGCCTTCCCGAAGGCCGTATCTGTCGACTATGCATTCGCAGTGGTTCGCAAAGAGTGTCGTTGGTGGTGTGAAGTAGTCTTTCCGGTCCCGCTCGTCTACTTCTACGACGACATGCTGTCTTGGACATGTTAGATCAGAGCAAACGGTAGTCTGAGAGGGCAGTATCTACTTTGGGTTCCGCGACTTGAGTCTCGCCTTGCGCAGGTGTTTACTGATTTCCTTGCCAACGCAGGCCCTCAGCTCTTGGAGCTCATGCTCCTGTTTCCGCTCGTAGGCTCTAGCCAGCAAGGCGTCGCGATCGCTGGGGTCCACGTGGAAGAACATGGGACTTCGGAGGTGAGTGATGTCGAAAGTCTTGAAGAGACGGTTCCAGCGGTTCAACCACTCGTCTCCGGTGGCGTCCAACACCAGCGTCGAGTAGCGTTGGCCCTGGCTGGGCGTTCTCTTCTCGATAATGCTGCCATTCTTTCTGTTCTTCAACGTCATGCGACGGCCGTACTTGCGGATCCAGTGGTATCGCTGGTGCTCCTCGTCTGTGAAGAGGGCCGAGGGCGAGTGCTCGCACAGTCGGGAAGCCACGGCCAGGCCACAAGGGCCGGCGCCGATGATGATTACGTCGTGGATGAACTGTTCCGTCATTGAGACCTACCAAGATGCTGAAGATCTACTCGCAGGGTAATGAAGAGCAAGAGGGGCAGCAACGCAGGTCGTCTCCGTCGCGGGAGCAGGGTGAGTTTTTGACATCCATTGTGCCATCTCTTCTCCAGGACCTGCTTCAATCAACTACCTGGTCACGAGGGGAGTCTGTCGTCGGCTGAAAGCTACCTTGATGGCCAGCGGTACATTCTCGTCAAGGCCAATGAAGGAGTGTTGCGGGCGTGATGATCCCTGTCTTGGGTCTTTCTAATAGCACTGGTTTGGATTGAGGACCTTGATGGGCAAGAATATATGGGGAATAACGAGGCGACGACATTTGGGCCGGAATCGATGTAAACAGTCCATGCTCTCTTGTAATACTTCCGAGAAATATATCTTGTAGCAGAATACCGTTCAATATGTCGGCAACGTGTCTGCTCGTTGAGCTGACGCTTGAAAGCATCACGTCAACGCGATCATAGCCCAACAGTATGGTGTAAGGTGATGGACGGCCTATTAGTCGGAACCCAAAACAGAGGCATCTCGGAGGAAAATCGGGGTTGGTTTGTCTCTCAGTGGCATGCGGCTTTCACAAGGTCCTGTTTGAATCTCATCGCGATAGAGTGGCCGAGCTGCGGACTCCATTTCCACGGCGCAGGCCGGTGTGTGTTCCGGGATCCACCGCTTCCGATCATCGGGCCACCGGGCCCAACCGAGCCCCAATGCTCCGCATCGGGACTCCCGCCCCGACCCAAGTGAACCTTCACCGACTCAACCCGAAGGTTTCCTCGGCGGCAGGTGCGGCCGTGTGAAATAACTCAAGCAACCTTCGGTTCATGCATCCGTTGCATCCAGGTGAAGCCACAATCCCACTGTGGGTCGAGAGCCAAGACGCATTAATCGGTAAATTTAATTTGATGAAGCCGGCATTCGAGGAAGCTAAGACGATGAAAACAGAGGAGATAAAAAAAAAAAAGCCGCAGGTTCGATGAGTTTCGATGCAGGAGAATGTCACTGTCACGCTCAACTGGCGGGCTGCATGCACTGGGGCTGCCAGCTGTGTGTTGCATGTGAGTTGGACCGATGCTTGATGAAATCTCGATCTCCGTCACCTGACATGTCACGATGTTATCTCCGAAGCCGAAAAGGGGATCGGGCCGAAGTTCAGCCAGGCGAACAGACCTGTCCCAGCTGGTAGCTCTGAAGTGGCAGTACGTACCGTTGTCTCCCCGTTCTTCTGGGTCGAGATGAAAGAAATAAAAATAAAAACCCCACATTCTCCCCAACAGAAATCTCGTCATCCCTGCTAGACACAAATGACCCGCAAGGACTTTTTGTGCTTTCGCCAACTGAAGCCATTGGTCGGACGCTAAGGCCAAGCCACGACTGACCTCGAGGTCCCCTTGGACGTAATTGTGCATACCGCTCAAGCCACAGCAGAATGACGCCACTTCCTCGCACACCGTTGCCAAGTATGACAGGATTCCATGTTCTCCCTGCTCTTACTGTCATGTAATGTTACCGTAGGTATGTACCTAGGTACATGCCTTGAGCACAAGCCCAAACTTGGTATCGCAGCACAAGCAGAGCAAATTTCCCTTCGTCTTCGGCGTCTTCGGGGAACTTCAAACTTCATGCTCCCCCCTAGCCCGAACCTGAAGAACAATGGATTAAGGACAGGGGGTGTACAACCGCGGGCCCAGAGTAATCCCTTTTTTTTTCCTTTCTTTTTTTACAGGGTGGCAGGGCCAAGTTAATTACCCCTATGATGTTACCCCCCACAGCTGATATCATAATAGAGGGTGAATATTCACCAAAAGTGAAGTCCCGTAGTAGGGGGGTGAACATTAGTTACCTAACAGGGGTAATTAACTTTGGCCTGGTACCATCGTACTTCTTCTTTTTCTGGACGTTGAAAATAGGAGAAGATGACATGACATGGTGCTGCTGTCACTGCTACAGCTACTGTGACATGTTCGCGCACAAATGGAAACCGTGTTTTATGCTATGGGCAAATTTCGATGGACCGAGTGGCATTTCCGCGCTCGTGACACGCGACTTAACGAACGTGCCCGAATAAAACAGCAAAGGAACACTCACTATCCGGGAAAATCAAGCTCTAGTCTAATTATCACAAGGGAAACCAGCTGCTTGCTTGCTTGCTCTCTCTTCCAACACCGTAATCAATCTGCTACCCGCGCTTGACGAGCTTCCATTGCTGTCACAAGTTCGTCTTCTTTGGTTAGAAACCACAAATCTTTTAAAGTTTCAATCCCCGTGGTCCGCGTTACCCCCCGACCGGAGTAGAGTCTCCTCCGCACCACCGCTAGCTGCAGGTTTGGTTCCCGCATCATATGCGCATTTAGTCGCATCCTTCTCCGATCGAGCTGCTCACGACCTCCCCCATCACCCGAGCACTTAGTCACTTCCTAGGTACTGGGCTGGCCACTCCCGCAACCCCGTAAGTGTATGCTTCCATCCTCTTCCGTAACCCCCCCAGATTGCATTGCCCACACAGCAACCACCGGCGTTGGTCCTGCAGCTACTTTGCTTCGCTGGCATTTGACACCAAGCACAAGTCCAACCCTATCTATCCCCCACGCCCTGCTCCGTTCCTCCCTTTTTTGTGTGTCTCTGTCCTTTCATACGCCCACGACATACATCATCATCATCATTACCTCCACACACCCTTCTAACATCCTGAACCAAGGCACAAACACTTGTGACACCCACACACCCGCGGAAAAAGACCTAGGCCACATACGTCCTGCACGCCAACTTTCTCGACTACCCTACCTGTCTGTCTACGACATAGTCTGCCGATCTCCTGGAAACGCCTCCATACCAGACCCCTTCATTACCGAAGTCACAAGTAGTAACTCCACGCGGGACAAGCCACTCGAGCAAACGACATTCCCCTCCACCGCCAAACAACTACCACCTCCCTCCCAATCCCACACACACACCCCTTCATACAAATAAAGACGGCAATGTCTTCCCCTTCCGGCTCCTCAGCAGCAGGCAAGCGGAAACGCACGACCGCGACAATGAACCCCACAGACATGCCAGACGCTGCTGACGCCGCCGACGCCGGCCTCCAGGCCTCCTCGCGCGACGCCTCAGGCGAGGAGGGCGACAGCACCGCCCCGGAATCCGGCCGCGTTGGCGGTCACCGCAAGTCCGACTCCACATCCGCCGGCCACCCGTCTAAGCGGCAGCGCGCCGGCTCGGAACGCTCTCACGAGACGACGAGTAACAACAACACCCAGTCCTCCGCCGCAGCGGCGGCGTCGGCGGCGCAAAACCACTCCCTCGACCCGGGCGAACCCAGCGACACCACCGAGGCGAGCGTCGACATCGCCGAGCGCGTCGGCCGCAAGAACAGCCGCAAGCACGTCTCGATAAAGGAGGGCGAGGACAAGGACGAGGCAATGCCGCCTCCGCCCACTGGCAAGCTCACGCATCCTGTCGGCTTCAGGACCAACGATCCTCCCGTCGGCCGCTCCGTCCGGGTGTACGCCGACGGAGTGTTCGACCTCTTCCATCTCGGGTACGTTGACACGACTTGCTTTCGCTCCTCTCCTCTCTCCATTCCCCATACGCACAGAAGCATGACACTCTCAACTAACCTCCCCCGTCTTACAGGCACATGCGCCAGCTCGAGCAGGCCAAGAAGGCCTTCCCCGACGTCTACCTCATCGTCGGTGTCACCGGCGACGCCGAGACGCACAAGCGCAAGGGCCTGACGGTCCTCTCTGGCGCCGAGCGCGCTGAGACGGTCCGCCACTGCAAGTGGGTGGACGAGGTCATAGAGAACTGCCCGTGGATCGTCACCCCGGAATTCCTCGACCAGCACAAGATTGACTACGTCGCCCACGACGACCTGCCCTACGGCGCCGACGAGGGCGACGACATCTACCGCCCCATCAAGGAGGCCGGCAAGTTCCTCGTCACCCAGCGCACCGAGGGCGTCAGCACGACGGGCATCATCACCAAGTAGGTCTCCACAGAGGCCTCAAAAGAAAGAAAGAAAAAAGATTGCTGACATTTGCTGCGTGTGTGCCCAGGATCGTCCGCGACTACGAAAAGTACATTGCCCGGCAGTTCAAGCGCGGCACCTCGCGCCAGGAGCTCAACGTCAGCTGGATCAAGAAGAACGAGCTCGATCTCAAGCGCCACGTCCAGGAGCTGCGCGATAACATCCGCACCAACTGGTCGACCACCGGCCAGGAGCTCTCCCGCGAGCTGCGCCAGTTCTGGCCCGCCTCGCGCCCGCAGTCCCCGGCCCCGGCCGCCCGCACCTCGTACATCCAGAACGGCGACCACCTCGCCGCCTCCAACGCGAGCAAGTCCCGCATCAGCGTCGACATCCCCACCACCCCCGGCGGCACGCCCGCCGGGACCCAGTCCAACGACTTCATCACCGGCTACGCCCTGGGTCTCGTCGGCGGCGTCCGTTCATGGGTAAGTTTCTCTCCCTTTTCAACAAACCGACACGTTTTCTATTTTTTGCGGTCATGCCACACGCGACCACCCGCCGGAGCTGGAGTATTTGCTGACGCGCCTGCTTTCCTTTTGTGTAGATGACCAAGAGCAAGAGAAGCGAACTTGACAGCCCGAGCCGCCGCAACAGCGACGACGACTCGGAGAGCGACGGCAAGAGCCCCCGCGGCCGCGTCGTCCCTCAACAGCCGGCCGCCGCCACCGCCACCGCGAGCGCCTCATAAAAAGCCGGTGCCCCCTTTTTGCACGTGACGTGCCTTGGGCTATCACCACCAAAGGCGCACTATATCCGGCGTCAAAAAAGTCCGCGTGACACAAATGTCCTAACCTTACTCACCCCACCCACCTTCACCTAATTATTGTTGCGCAGTAAACGGGACCGTTTTGGTCGACGGGCGAGGTGAGAGTTGAAGGAGGAGCGGAAAGGAGGAAAGAGGGGTGGGGGATGGGCAGAAGAATGGGAGGACGGAACGGACTACACGAACAAACGAAACGTGATG